TATATCTATTATTATTAATTAGTTTTATCATGAAAATACTATTATAAAGTGATGTATTTTTAACTATGCCAAATTTTTATCTTTTTATTTTTGTGTATATATATATATATATATATATATATATATATATATATATATATATATATATATATATATATATATACATATATATATATATATACATATATATATATATATATACATATATATATATACATATATATATACATATATATATACATATATATATATATATATATATATATATATATATATATATATATATATATATATATATATATATATATATATATATATATATATATATATATGTATATATATATATATATGTATATATATGTATATATATATATATATTTATATATATATACATATATGTGTATATATATATATATATGTATATATATATATATATATTTATATATATATACATATATGTGTATATATATATATATATATATATATATATATATATATATTATAATATAGTTTATTGATAAATTTTAGAGCTAAAAAAAATTGAGTAAAACACATCCTGCAATTATATGTCCTAATAAAAGTAAATCTGCGGAATAAATATTGATCAACAAGGAAGAAGGATAAACTTTGAATATTTTTATATTTTTAGAAATAAATTTTTGTCATAGATAACGTTAAAGATTACATTATGAATGAATTTAAAATAAGTTTGATAAAAATATTTTAAAAGTTTCTTACGCTTTTAAAGAAAATAACTTCTGAAAAATAAATTATACGCAAATTTATAAAAATCAATTTTAAATAAATTTTTTTAAATAACAGAAAAGTAAAAAAAATATTCACGTAGAGTTTTTAATGAATTTCTATTGGAGGTTCAAACTCGGTCGTAGATTCTATCTTCACTGATGTTTTAGCGGTTGATAGCGTCGCCGCTTCAGAAATTGTTATAGTAATTTTCGGCAATTTTGTGGTGGTTGTAGCTGCAGGCGTTGTAACTGTATTTATATTTAAAGCAGTTAAAAATTTATCAGCTGAAATTGTAGAAGTCGTTAACGGGCTTGCCATTGTTTCAACTGCTCTTGTTGTTTTTGCTTTTGTTGTGTTAGGTTCTGTTGAGGTAAAAAGCGATGCTGTTGAAAAACTCGATGTTCTTGTTGTAGTTGTAGAAAACGTTGTTGTAGGAGGTAATGTTGTAGGAGGTAATGTTGTAGGAGGTAATGTTGTAGGAGGTAATGTTGTAGAAGTTGTTGTTGTAGGAAGTAATGTTGTAGTAAAAGTTAATGCTTCCACAGTATTTTCGGTAACATCTGTCATTTTAACCGAAAGTGATGTGGTGGTTGTGATCGGTGGAAGTGATGTAGTTATAGTTGACTTTGTTGTTGACGTTTTTGGAATTCTTATTGCTTCTGTGGTTGTAGAAATTTTTGTGGTGGTTTTTGTAATAATTGTCGTCGGTACCTCTGAAGTTTCTTCGAGAATGGTTGCTGAAGCGGAAGGTGATTCCGTAGGTATTGTTGTAATAATCAACGGTGGATTAGTAGTGTCTGGAAATGATGATTGGTTAATTACTCTATCTACATAGTCACTAGCACATTCTTTATTTCTATAGTCTTGAGTATAATGACACGGTGTAACGCAAAAGTCAGCAAATATTCTGTTTGAGGTTTCACTTTCATATTCAGCGTTAGGACCAGTCCAGCCCCACCAGCAATAGCATCTTCCGTCCTGTTGACACTTTCCAGCATCATGATATACAGAATAACCACACATATAATTGCAGGGAACATTACTTAAAGGTAAGCAATCTTCGTACACAACGAATAACTGCAGCGTTGTAACAATCAACAATATCTTCAATTTATGTTTAAAAATACTCATTCTTAAAAAAAAGTCTGTGAAAATATATTTTGCACTAAAGTAGTAACAAAACAAAATGAATCACTGATCAATTTAAAATAAATCACTGATGAATTCAACATTTATAAATACTACACTAATTGTTAAAACCATTCTAATTGGTCTGTAATGCGTAGTAATGATCAGTGAAAAAAGCCAACGCGATCTAATAATTACGTCTCAATGAAAATGCGGTTACTATTGCGATAATGAGTTCATACTAATTGTTTTAATAATTTATTCTTAAATAGCTCAATTTTTTTGCGTGTTTTTTTTTTAAAGATGTTTTTGTGTTTGAGCTAGTCTGCCCCGTCACTTTTTCTTTTTCAAAAACATTTTTTAAAATATGTTAGCATGTCTCTAAAATTATGCATTTAAGGTAGGCCATGTTAGTTTTTTCTAACTTGTTTTGTGAATAATAAAGTGTTGTATCACCCTGTTAAACTCTTTAGTAAAAAAATGTTAAGTTTTATTACATCTGATCATAATTGTATCTAAAACAAACGGTGCAAAGTCATTCAAAAATAAAAATAAGCTGAAAACAGAAGCCATTCAATATAAATACTGTACTTCAAGTTATGTATTACAAATACTGTATTTATGGTTGAAAAAAATATATATTTTTATTTATTTTCATAATCATTTGCAATAAACCACCGCTTAAGGGTTAAGGATTTTATATTGTTTATTATAAAATAATTATCATTTTTGAAAATGTATTTTTGAGGTAACGATGGCGAGTGAGGCAAGATGGATTTTCATATAATAGCTCAACAAAAAAATTTAAAAATGGGTGGAAACAAATTTGTACCTTCTATTTTAAAACACCAACTTTTTTTTGACTTCCTCTGTGGGTATTCATTCTCTAAAAGCTCGGCGGATGAACTTAAGACAAAAGCCAAAAATTTATCTCAGATTTACAAAGCAGGTTTAGGTTCTTCTGTTTTTCAGTCAGAAAATGCGAGTTATAAATTTCAAACTGCTACAATAATGGAAAACTTCAAAAAATCTCCAATTGACTTTTTGCAGTTCATTTATAAATATTCATTGACTAACGCTTATCCTAACACAGCAACTGCTATTCGCATCTTTCTCACCATACTATTCACAGTTGCTACATGTGAAAGAAGTTTCAATCAGCTTAAGCTCGTAAAAAACTACATGAGAATAACTATGAGCCAAGAACTTTTGCTTAGTCTGGCTATACCCCTTTATAAGTTGCTGTTACAGGCTATCTGACGGTGCGTGTAAAAACTTAAGCTCGTACTTACGTCAATACATGGTTTAAAAAGGTAACAAAGAAAATTCCTTAATTGGGGATTTCAATATGGACTGTTTAGTATAATGACAATAAAGTAAGCTTTTATGATGATTTTTTTAGGGAGGAATACAATCGACCGCCCTGCTAGAGTAGCTAACAGATCTACCACTATTATCAATAATATTATTACGATTGACATTTTTTAGTTATGAGTTGCAAAAAAGATTTATAAAATCAGATATATCAAAACATATATTTCCCTATTTTTTTAATCCTCAACACAATATCTATAAACGATATTAGTGTAAATAGATTATTTAAAAAAATATTTTTAACAAAAATAATTTAGAATCGTTTAAAAAAAAAAACTGCTGCTAACTAAATTGGAATCATATACTTTAGCGATAACGCAAATCAAATCTATAATAAATACTATAAATAAATACTATGAAACATTTGACGCTGTATATGTTGCAAACTTTCCAGTTTGTGAAAAAATAACTGTTCCTATTTAACGTTATCGCTAAAAAAATTTGATTTTCGGATTTTGAAAAAAACTTTCAAAAAGTATGGAATAGCTAATATAATTTAGAAACTTAAATTTAATATTGAATTTAATATCGAAAATTTATTTCGAAATTAAATTCAATTTCGCAAAAAAAAAGTAATTTCGATATACTAAATTGATTTCGAAATTTAAGTTGAATTTCAAAAAGTTAAATAAATTTCGAAAAGTTAAATTAGTTTCGAAAAAAAAAAAAAAAGCCTTTTCGAATAGCTAAAGCATTTTTGAAAAAAAAAAGTTTCACAAAGCTAATCAAATTTTGAAAACAGTAGCGCGGACTAAGCTTGTGAAAGTATATGCAATGTTCGACTGTTGGGGAGTACATGCAGAAATCCAACTAACTTTTAGGATTCTGTCTTATTCTTTACCTTCAAATTTATTTTAATCCTAAAAATAGTTTTCTCTAGTTCAACGCCGAAACAGAAACCGACATTTAGGCAAATATTTTACCGAAACCGATACCGATATTTCAGCTAGTCAAAATTAGTTTCATTAGAAAAACTTATTTAAAAATGTAATTTTACATTTGTTGTTTTTTATACAGGTATTATGTTAGAATTGATTACATGTGTATCACCAATTGAGGTTTAAAACATAAGTTAATAGCGAAAGTTCACAACTGGCAGATTTTTTCTGCAGTACAACATTTTTTCGAGATACTTTGTGAAAATTCTCAAAATTTTTATGAAAATTCTTAAAATATTTTGTGAAAATTCTCAAAAATAATAAATAAAAAATAAGTGTTTTTTTAAAATAAGATTAAAATTTAAAATCATAAAAATTTTTGGTTTTTGGTACGTTTTTCAACCGAAGTTTTGCTTTTTTACTGAATTTTTAAAAAGTACCGAAACCGAAATTTTGGTATCGGTTTAAATTGAAGTTTTGGCCGAAACCGATACCGAAACAGAATTTAATTCAATCACTAGCTAATACACAATGTTAAACTAGCAAAGGTTAAATTATGGATAGAACTTTTACTCACTTTTAAGTAAAAAAATAAGTTGCTTTTAAATGTAAAATATTAAATATATTTACAATTAAAATTAAATTATTAAAAAATAATAATAATAATTACATTGCATCTAAAATTTAATTATGTAAAGTTAATTTTAAAAATGCGCAGTAAAAGAAATTTATTTTTACAAATAAAAGTAATTAACATAAGTAATTAACATAAAAAAGTTACTTATAAAAGAAAATTACTTGCCAAATAAGTAAGTCAAGCCAAATAAGTAAGTCATAAGTCAAGCCAAATAAGTAAATCATAAGTCAAGCCAAATAAGTAAGTTATAAGTCAAGCCAAATAAGTAAGTCATAAAAAAGTTATTTAGATGTTACTTATATAAACCATTTTTTTTTTAACTTCAATACATCTAATTATCGTTGTTTTTTTTTTATATGATTTTATTATTGCTGGTGTAATCCTGCGATTATTAAATGATTAGGTTTTAATCGTTGAGATTTTGATATATCTTACAGGTTTTAATCAGATATATTAAAATCACCATGTCCACAATTTGAATTTGTAAAATTTCTTCACAGTTTGCAGAATTATTGAAAACAAAAAAAAATTGTTGATAGAATGATAGAGAGAATTATGGAAATGTCGTTATATATTCCTTCCAAAACGTTGTTCTAAGGAACTATTCATATGTATGAAAAACATTCTGCCTTGGAGAGAAAAATAACAATTATTTAGCGTGGTGTTGTTTGTTTCCCAGATGTATTCGACATAGATACGATAATCTTAGGAGCGATTTTTATATCTAGAAAAGTTGACAGAACACAAACGAGGTAAAACAATCTCTTACCTTGCATGTGCCGGATGCAAGTTAAAAGTGAAATTATATAATAAATATGTAATTATTTTCTTATTGTTGTACTAAGAGTAGACGATTTTTTGTCTGGCTTTTTCCGTAACTTTTTACCTGCAATCGAGCAAATGAAATTGAGAAATTTGCTTACTATTTGTTATGCAAAGCAACGCGCAAGTAGACCACTGTTGTAAAAAAGATAAGACTTATAAAGCGGAGTTAAAACGCTATTAGCATTTTTGCGATATAAATGAGATTGAGTATAAAAATTTTTACAAAATAAAACTGAAACTCATATAAAACTTATATAAAACCCACAAAAAAAAACAAAAAAGCCTCTAATTTCCCAATTCGCTAACGTGTGATAAATATCCCAGTCTTATATTGCCTAACGAACCTATCTAAAAAAAGGTCCCAATTTGCCAACTTATTCATTGCATGGGGGTATGTCACCGTCCTACCCTTCTCGCACACATACTCTTCGCGCCTAGCCATCAATATTTATTCTGAAGAGAGTATTTAAAAGGAGTAGGAGATTTTGAGAATTGTTTTGTCCTAGTTTTAAGGGTTTTAATTTTTTGTTATTAAAAAGTATTCATTTACTTGCGCACTTGCCTCAGAAACAAAGGATCCGTGGTTCAAACCCCACCTCTGGGCAAGTTTAGCGACATCGGTTGGGAAGGAGGCGTGAATTTCTTATTAAATGCTCATCCGCGGTGCACTGTGATAAGACCGTAAGGATTTCTTGGAGCACCTAAAATAAAAAAAATAAAAAAAATAAAATTTAGATGCAGTTTTTAGAATTAATGTAATAAAATAAATATTTTGAAGTGGTTTTAAGAATTTCAAAAGTAAAAAATTGTTTCGATACCTTTTTTATAATTTCGATAATATAAAGATGTTTCGATACAAATTATAGAGATTCGAAAGTGAAAAATTGTTTCGGTAAATTTTCGATAATATAAATATATTTCGGTACAATTTTCAGAATTTCGAAAGTGAAAAATAGTTTCGAAGCTTCTATTTTTAGGGTTTTGATGATTAAAAAATGTATCGATAAAATATCGTGAATTTCGAAAAGTTAAATTTATTTCGGTTCAAAATGAAGTTATTAGAAATGGTTTCAATTTCACCGAAACAAAAATAGAATTTTGAAAAAAACAATTTTAATCGAAAATTCAACTTTTGCAAAAGTGAACAATCCTAATAATAAGAATTAAGAGTAATATAATAATAAACTCTTATGAAAACTTAAAAATATTCTATTTAAAGTCTTTAAGCATCTTTAGATCAAGGAGTTTTTCCTGACCAGATTGAAAATAGCTAAAGTTATTCCAATATACAAAAACGGAGACAAAACAAATATTAGTAACTACCATCCTATTTCAATCCTTCCGATATTCACAAAAATTTTAGAAAAAACAGTTTATAATAAAATATAAATATCTTGAATACAATAAACTGCTAAACAATAACGAGTTTGGTTTTAAAAAGAATATTTCAACAGAGCACGCAATTATTCATTTTGTACGGAAAATCTCCAGCTCCTTTGATAAAAACCAATTTACTGTAGGCGTTTTTTTGGCCTTTCTAAAGCTTTTGATACCGTAAATTATAATTTTGCTTCAAAAACTGAAATACTAAGGCATAAAAAATAATCTGTTAAAATGGTATATAAGTTACGAAAAAAACAAAAGCAATACGTTCCGGACAATAATGGATGCTGTTATGAAATGACTGAAGAAATATTTGGTGTTCCATAGGGTTCTATTTTTGGATCCCTTTTCTTTTCAATCTATATAAATGATCTTAACAAGGCATCGCAAATAAGTAGTATTAAATTTGCTGGTGATACAAATTTATTCCCTTCGAATGCTGACTTATATGAACCATTTCCCAATATTAACAAAAAACTTAAACGCATATCAAACTGATTTAAATGCAATAAATTGACAATGAGCGTC